AGCAGGAGCTCTGAGGAGGGGCCGGTGCGAAGAACGTAGGATTCGCGGGTGGATTCGTAGGAACTTGATGGCTCATCACCTGTTGGTTCTCCATGCCCATCATAGATGAGAAGCTTGCCGGAATATTCCTGAAGTCGAAGCTCTCCTCTTTGCTGCTGAAACTTGAACCGGGCCTTGTTGCACAACCGTAGAGGGGATCGATGAAAGGATCGTTTCCAAAAGACTTGATCCTGTCCAAGACAGGCACCACATCCTTGTGGAGAATCCTGCACACAACCCAGTCGTCCTGCGATCGTAGAGTTCAGATTCTTCATGCAAAGAGATAACTCTGCTGCAGGACATACACAGAAATGAAGAAGAACAGTACAGTACCTTCGCATACTTGGGGAGATGGGAGAGACATGAAGTGCCTTCGAGCCTGTACTCATGCATCACCCAGCTGGTCTTCTCTCCTTTGGGAGCCCTTCCTCTGTAGAACACAAGGGTCTTCTTCATGCCCACGAGAACTCCTCTCCCCTTAAAGATCTCCTTATCTTTTCCCGTGGCTTTCCAAAAGCCGGCCTCGGTGGCTCTGTTGGTCCTCGTGCCGGTCGGGTACTTCCTGTCCCTTTGGCAGAAGAAGTACCATTCTTTCGCTCCCATCTTTGCCCTGCCTGCGAAAAGAAGAAAGCTGGAGAACTCAACACACCAAAAACAGGGGTTCAACCAGCAAAGGATCAAGGAGAAAGAGAAGGCGAGCTCACCTGGAAGATCCCACGGCTCGCACCTGTTCAAATCCACGTCCCCTATGGCTCTCGCAGAGAAGCCATGGTCGACGACCTTGGGTGAGAGGTAGTGGGTTATGATCTCTTCGTCCGTGGGGTGGAATCTGAAGCCGGGGGGCAAGTCCATGCACTCCTCCATCGCTGTACCTCTAACAACCAAGAAGACCAGGCGTGCTTGAGGATCTAAGAAAGAAGAGAAAAGAAGGGAGAGAGATGCACTTAAATAGAGGAGTTCCTGCAAGCCCAGAATACCTGATGCACAAGGCACTCCCCGCTCCCAAAAGGATGGTGTTGCCATTTTGCATGGTTGGTCAAAGTACGTAACTCCGGTACACTGATGAATCAATCCCTGGCAATCTTAATGATCGCTAGCCAAGGACACAATTGGTTGAGAGATATAATTGCTGTGATCAAGGAGATGGGAGGAGGAGTACTCGGTGCCGTATCTGACCATTGGAGGTGAAGAACATCTGGTAGCAAGTCATTGTTCAAAGCTTGGGGAAAACATATGCCACCAAAAGAGCTGTCAAAAGCTGTGAAAGAAATCGGCTCTTCTTCCTGCTCATGATCTGCATTTCTTCCTAAATTCTGAGTAAAATTTTGCATGTATTTGTTTGTAGCTTATAATAATAATATTAAAACGAGCAAGCGGCCAACATCAACTGTTCTACGAGAGTTGACTTTGTCTCACCGTCCACCGTAATGATCAAAGCCAACCCTTTCACGCTGATGCCGCTCATGATGTCAATTCCCTTCTGTTTGCCGAGCCCAATCTACGAGGTCAAACGATTCACCTACACACACTTATCCACGAGGTCCAACGAATCTAGCCGTCCGATTGGTGTCTCCTTCATGGATTCTCGAGTGATTGTGAGGACAGTGTTGGTGTTCTTTCAAACACCCCTTTCAGAATTAGCATGCAACAAATGCAGCCATATTGAATTGCAAGAATAGTTACATCCGTAAGTAACATCTTCATGGATAACGAATCAATTGTTCATCTCAATAGTCCCTAAACATGATCATATTTATCAAGATAAGGCTCATTACAAAATATATATATATATATATATATATATATATATATATATATATATATATATATATATATATATATAT